CGTGGCGGACGTGGCGGTGGCGGTGTGGGGGGCGGGGAGTCGGGTTGGGGAGGCGAAGGGGTGAGATGGAGGTGAGAGGGACAAGCCGCGGGCAGGAAGAACCAAGGTCGCTGTCCCGCGCCCTACTGCCCGCCCGCTTGCCCGCGCGCACGCCCTGTGGGGCTCCTTCCGCACGCTTGCCGTCTGCCTGCCTGCCTCTCACGCCCGTTCGAGTGTGACTCGCCCCGTCCTCCGAGCCTCCCCTAGTACATTATAATTGTAAAGTTTCGGGGCGTTGTATAGGTGAGCCTCCTTAGCTCAGTGGTAGAGCGCGTCACTAGTAGTGCGATCCGGGTTGGCTTGGACCGTCATGACGAGGTCAGTCGTTCAAATCGGCTAGGAGGCATGATCTTTTTTCTGCCCGGAAAAAAGGGGTCTGCATCGGCAAACGCAGGGCGGTCTGGGCACAGCCTGGATCCAAGCGAGAGAGGCGCTCTCGCGCACAGACGCTGGATCGCTTCACTCGTTCGTCTCGCCACCACCATCTTGTTTCATCGCGCCTTGTTTCGTCTACCTAGACCGTCACTGCCTCCGCCACCGACTGCATCGCATCGCATCGCATCGCACCGCATGCCATTACCGGCCTCGACCCGACACCGCAGCCCTCAGGGAAAGACGCCCTGGTAGACCGAGTCGAATCCGCCTGCACCGGCGCTGGCGCCAGGCCCTCCCTGACCTTGGCCGTGGCCTGCGCCGCCGTTGGCCTGGCCAAACAGCGACGGGCCGTGCGGGTCGGGCGGGAGGAGGGCGTTGGTGAGGTCGTGCGTGTAGCCGCCAATGGACCACTCGAGGAAGCTGTCGAGCTCCTGCAGCCCGGGCCCGTAGTCGAACTCGGTCGGCAGGCCGGGCCATGGCGCTTGCTGCTGCCCGTGCGGCTGCGACTGCGACTGCGGCCCGGCCTGCTGCTGGTAATGCGGCTGCATGCCTCCCTCGTGCGGCATACCAAAGTGCGCCCCGGCAAAGCCTGGCTGCTGCTGCTGCTGGTGATGATGCTGCATCGGAACCGCAAACGGCAGCCCCTGCTCGTGGTGGTGGTGGTGATGGAGCTGCTGCTGCTGGTGCTGTTGCGACGGAGGCGGCGTGGGCTGCTGGGCATGCGCGTAGGGCGGGAACGCCGGCTGCGCCTGCGACGCGTAGCCGGACGACGTCGAGTACGACGGTTGCAGCGGGGCGTGCGTGCCTCCATATCCCGCCGCCAGGTGCGCTAGCGAGGCGGCTTGGGCGCCATCGTGGCTCGTCCGCGCTTCCGTCGGCGGCGCCGGCAGCGGCGGCGGCTGCTGGTGCGGCTGGTGTTGCTGCTGCGCGCCAAACGCAGGATCGGCATGCGACCA